ACAATAAAAATGCAAATTGCCTTTTTAAGATGGCTTTAAAGAAAGTATTTTTTTTTTTTTTTTTTTGTCAACAATGCATTTCCTAATAACAAATTTAAATTAATATGGGGAACCGGAAAGAAAAGGAGAAAAATGAAAAAGAAAAAAAAAAAAAATAATAATAATAATAATAATAAAAACCATAGTAATAAATAATATAATAATAAAATAATAATAATAATCATAATAAAATAATCATAATAATAATCATAATAATAATAATATAATAATAATAATAATAATAATAAAATTAATAATAATAATAATGATAGCAAATAAGTATTAGATCTTCCGCATTATGTGTCCCAGAAACATGTATCAAATCTAAAATCGATATTCACCAAAAGAAATTCCATGCTGGAAAAACGTTAATTTTCTGATTTGTAAATTCGTGTTGGCTATAACAAAAATAAAGACAACGAAACCAACACAGTTACCTGCCCGCTTTTGAGATGAGACATTTGTAAGATTAATTCTAAGCAAATTGTGTCAAGAAAAAGACGTAATTGTCATTGCATTAAATAAATATTTGACGATTTTAACGAGTTCTTAGGACATCTATCATTGCGTCCTGAGACGTATTTAGTTAATGAATTTATTTTATTACATTCCAAATTTTTGCAGATGTATTGCTAGACAGGAGGATTTCTTTGGTAACGAAGAAAAGAATACTGAACTGTTACGTGACATCTGTCCTTCTTTACGGCAACGGATGTTGGACGATTTCCTCAAAGATGAAGAAGAGACTCAGGGCGACGGAGATGTGGTTCTACAGAAGGATTCTAAGGATATCATGGACCGAGCGTGTGATCAATGAGAGGGTCCTAGAGAGGATGCAAACAAGGAGAAGACTAATATTTAACATCAGGAAGAGGCAGCTGAAGTTTCTGGGACACATAATGAGAAAAGAGGGCCTGGAGAATCTGATACTCACGGGTCGAATAGAGGGAAAGTGAGACAAGGAAAAACAACGCGTATCATACCTAGCGGCGTTAAGCAAGTGGATGACAGAACGTGATCTGGGGGGTGGGGTGGCAAAGGGAAGGAACTTGTTGAGAGCTGCAAGGGATAGAGGAAGGTGGAGAACCATGATCGCCTAGATCCTGAAAGGACAAGGCACATAGAAAGAAAAAAGTCCCTATATCTTTTCCTGCCGTTGTAAAATTGTAACTGGAATTTATTGTACTTTTAACAACACACTGTGGATGATTCGACTGACTGTAGCCACTCGTAGAAGTGTTTTATTTTATCATTCGATGTTCTGACGTCACGGACAAACTAATCGTTTGAAGTCAGTCGGGCTAAATTTTCGATCCAAGAAGTTTTTTCATTTATCCCTCATCAGTCAAAATTTAAATACAGACAAAATTATCTTACTGACGAATAAACTTTTGCTTAAAATTAAACATGATCAATTTCTCCGTTTTCTGCTAAAAAAATTTTCTGAGACACACGACACAGTCATGGGCAAAATTTATATTAAAAAATTGACTGGAACAAATCCTCGTCAGTCAACCTTTAAATACAGACATGGATATCTTACTGACGAACAGATATTCTTGATTTCCCTTTTGGCTCGCCGTAAACAAATTCACTAAGACGATTTAAACTCACTACAAATAATTCTTCGTTTTCTTGAATTTGCCAATTTAACTACAACATAGACGATGCATTGTTATTAAATAACTCTTCGTTATTTTTAAATAAACGTCCACAGCAAACGTTAAAATTTTCAACAGTTAATTCAATGCCTGACCAAACTTGAGACGACTGAATTTCTCTCTATTTTGAACCTGAACATAAAAAAATATAAAAACACAAAATTTCAAATTAAACAACGCCAAAAATCCACAGTAAAGAAATCCTTTCTATCTGTAAAAAGTTCTACACCTCTGTTAACGAGTTCCTTTTCCCCAAAAATAAAAAAAAAAAATTTTATTTTTTTTACATTGTTCTTGCTATCCTATTTTGGCGTGGAATTTTGTTAAAATATCTCATTACCCGAGATACCTATTTTTTTTCCATCTTATAACTTTGATTTTGTTTTGCATTGGAACGCCTTTTTCATTTTAGAAAGGCTATCTCTTTGATTTTTAAAATTTATGCACTTGTTGATTGACCCTTTCCTCTAATTTGTTCATTCAAATAATTTTTTTATACATTGTTTGTGGACTCATGTAAGTTTAGAATATTATATATAGGCCAATATTAAACCAGCACTGCACCCTACCGGGTCTGCAACAAAAAATATATATATATATATATGGGCGCGTGGGAAAGTAGAGAAAACGTTCGATATTCTGACTATGAGACCCGAATGAGTTCGAATCTCACCATCTTGTCAGAAGGGGTCGGTCCCAGAGTCAAAGCGGCACTTTTAAAAGTCTTGTGAATTCCATACAACCCAAGCCTTTTAAATTACAAGTCTTATAAATGTTGCGCATGCTCGACTTGTTCAGAATTGTTGATCACGTTAGATAAGTGCTAATTTTTGATAAATATATATAACTAAGGCCTGCTCATTTAAATTGTATTTTAAACACAAGCGAATAAACACAAATGCGCCTGAGCAAAAAATTGCGTAATATCAATTATTAAATATAGTAGATATTAATTTTCGAATTTTATATTATTATATATATATATATATATATATATATATATATATATATATATATATATATATATAAAATGGAAAAAAAATGTCATTAAAAAAAAAGCGTTTAAACTGACATCTCATTCTAACAGATATATATATTTGAAATTTTGTAAATTTTGTAAGAATATTTTTAAACAAAAATTTGAAAAAAACAAAGAGATATTTTAAAAGGAAGAAAAAATTTTTTCCTTTTTTTTTTTTTTTTTGTAATTTTTGAAAAATGCATTAATACCCCATTAATGATAATTTATATTATTATTTATAAAGAAAAAAAAAGAAGGAAAAAAAAAAAAAAAAAACAAAAGAAAAGGTTTAAACGAAAAAAAAAAAAAAAGAAGAAAAAGAAAGAAAAAGATAATAATGAAGATAGATACATAGATAGATAGATAGATAGATAGATAGATAGATAGATAGATATACTATTATTCAGATGGATAATTTCTAAACATATTCAGATAGATAAATATTGAACATTTTTCAATTAGAGATAGATAGATAGATAGATAGATAAATAGATAGATAGATTTTAATAGATATGGACATATTCAGATAGATATAAATATAAATATAGATAGATAGATAGATGATAAATAGATAGATAGATACATCAGATAGATAGATAGATAGTTAGATAGATCTGGATGTATTTAATTTGGGCATTTTTCTTTTTTTAAAGACCGATTCTTTTCAAAACACGTTCACGTGCTACAGAATAAACTTCAAGCCAACGCAATTGCAAATGTTTTTGAGGTCATTTTCATCTACCACTAAAAAAAACCATAAATTTAATTCTTACAAGAAACAAAATCCCACACAAAATGAATAAAATTTAAAATAAACAAACTTGTCGATCGACGACGGCAATGATTGTATTTGCATTGTTTAAAATTGCCAACAAAATAAACTTCAATAACGCCATCTTTGCTCCAAATACAAATATTGTTTTGAAATCGCATTAAACATCTTTTTTTTTTTTTTTGTTTATCATAATATACACAAATGGAAAAATCTATCGCAATCAACAGGTATAATATTTTCTATTATTTAGACATGTGTTTTTATTACAATAACAAAATAATAGGCAAATGGAAAGTTTTAAAAAATTTCTTGTAAAAATCTATAAATTTTATTTTGAATTGAATTTTTTTTCAGTTTTCTTTTTCAATTTCTATTTTTTTTTCAAAAAATTTAATTCAGAACGAATGATTGCACAATTTGAAATGATGAAAATTAAGTATGATATTGGTAAATTCTAAATACTATTTATTTTTTTTTTTAATAAAGATTTCATGAAAATTCCAAAAAAGAAAGAAAAAAAAAAAAAAAAAAAAAAAAAAAAAAAAAGTGACAAAAAAAAAAAAAAAAGATAATAAATATATGAATATTTAGATAGATAGATAGATAGATAAAAAAATGATATTTGAAAAAATAGAAAGAAGATTGAAATGAAACATTTAAATAGATAATGAATAATATGAAATGAATAGATTGAATAGATGAATAGATAGATAGATAATAGATAGATATAAAGAGATAATTTAATTAGAAAGATAATTTTTGTATTTAAAGATAGATAGATCTAGATGTTTTATGAAAAAAAAAAAATATAAAAAATAATAATGAATAATATTATAATATGAATTAGATCAAAATAGAAAAAAAATATATAAATAGATAAAAAAATTTAAAAATTTAGAAAAAAGAGTAAACAAAAAAAAAAAAAAACTATACAAAAATTTTAAAAAAGAACAATTTTTATTTATGTTTTGTTTTAATGGCATATCAACATCTCAATGGGTTATTTATTTTTGACAAGATTTTTATTGCTAGTAATATTTAAAAAAAATGAAAATATATTGTTGGTAATATTTTTTTTCCAAATATTTATTGTTAAATTTTTTTTTTTTCAATAATCCATTATTTTTTTTTTTTTTTTTTCAAAAAGATCATTTTGGTAATAATTTTCAAAATGTATTATTGGTATTAAAAAATATTTTTACACTTTCATTATGTTTCGACCCTAAGTTTGGTGGGTAACTATCAAAACATAGCTATTTTAAAAAACTGACTAAAAAATTTGTATCAGGGTGGATCTGGGATTAAGCAATTAGAGGTGGTTCCATCTCCAAAAAAACCATTTTTGATCAGAAAATTCAATTGTCGGGTGTAGTTTATCGTCATACCCAGGACAGGACAGGACGCATTTTAGATAAATAAATATAATTAAAAAATAGATGCCTTTTTGAACTGAAATTTTCAAAAATTATTTAAAATAATAATAGAACCATAACTCTAATGATTTATGAATTTTTTTTTTTTAAATTTTTATTTTTCATTTTTTTTTTTTTCTATTTTCTTTTTTGTTCATTTTTTTTTTTTTTAATTTTTTTTTTACTATTAAAGGAAATGAAATTTATCATTCTTTTTCATTTTTCTTTATTTAATTTATTTCTTTTATCTTACTGAATATTTTTTTATTTTTTTTTTTTTCTTTTATATTTATTCTTTTTTTTTCTTTGGAATTTTTTCTTTTTTTTCTTTTTTTTTCATGATTTTTCTTCTTTTTCTAAATTTCTTTATTTTCTTCTTTTCCTTCTTATTTTCATTCTTTTCTTTTTTTATTCTTCAAGTCAAAAAGTTTTATTTTAATTTATTTTTTTTTTTTTTTCTCCTTTTTCTTCAACCTTTTTTCTTCTTTTTCTTCTTTTCTTTATTTTCTTCTTTTCCTTTCTTCATTCTTTCTTTTCTTCTTTTCCTTTCTTCATTCTTTCTTTTTCTCTATTTCTTTAACAGTTTTTCTTTTTATTTTTAAATATAATCTTTTTTCTATTTTCTTCTTTTAAATTTTTTCTTTTCCTTTCTTAAAGCAAAAGAATTTTTCTGGTTTTTTTTTTTTTTTTTTTTCTCCTTTTCTTATTTATTTTTCTTCTTTTTTTCTTTTTTTTTTTTTTCTTTTCCTAGGAAATTCTTTCTTTCTTCTTTCCTTTCTTCATTTTTTTTTCTCTATTTTTTTTTTCTTTGAAAAATGATTTTAAAAATGTTTTTTCTTCTTTTTCTTCTTTTCCTTTCTTCATTCTTTATTTTCTTCTTTTCCTTTCTTCATTCTTTCTTTTTCTCTATTTTCTTTTTCTCTTTTTTTCTCCTTTTTCTTCAACCTTTTTTCTTCTTTTTCTTATTTTCTTTATTTTCTTCTTTTCCTTTCTTCATTCTTTCTTTTTCTCTATTTTCTTTTTCTCTTTTTTCCTCCTTTTTCTTTTTTTTTCTTCATTCTTTTTTCTCCTTTTTCTTCAACCGTTTTTCTTCTGTTTCTAATTTTCTTTTTCTTTCTTCATTCTTTTTTTCTCTATTTTTCTATATTACATTGCAGCTTATTGAAAAGACACTGCGATTAAATTTTTTTATCATATTTTTATTATATGTTTCTTCCATTTTTACAAGAGATGACTTTTTTTTTGGACAGTGTATGTAAGAATTTTCCTAATAATCTTTGAGTTTGAACCCTTCCAGCTAATCTGTTAGCCATTATAAAAGATGTTTTTGTTTGTCTCAATATGTAGATTATGATGATATTTTTTTTTACAAGCAAAGAAATATCTTTGAAATTCAGAACACAGTCAGCACATTTTATCTAAATGTTCATATTTTATTAACAGTTGGTTTCTTGTTTCTTTTTATTATTAAAGCTTCCATTATTTTGAAGTTTTTCTGCTGTTAGATGAGTGTATTCTATGAGTATGTTGTGGATAGAGGCTGGGTAGGTCTCTGTGCATATTTAAATGGGTCCTAATGGAGCTATGTTCCAAGAGGTACAAAGTCAGTAAGTATTTTCCTGATAGGCATGTAGTTTATAACAATGTAATTATTATTCATGAAAAAAAAATGGATTTAACAAAAAGTTTCATATAAAAGGTCATGTAAATTCATAAATAAAAATTTGGTCCTATGTACTTTGGATCATTTTTTATATATATATATATATATATATATATATATATATATATATATTTATATATAAAATAAATAGATAGATAAAGATATTAACATTACTTTTTTTGAAAAATTAAAATAAATTTTTGATTTGCCAATAATCAAATCAATCCTAAAGGAAAAATAATTTTAAAAAAAAAAAGCTAGAAACATAAAAGTCTGTCGTAGAAAAAAATCGAGACAGATGCAGGTTAATTTTTAAAAAAAAAAAACCCCAATACAAAGTAAACAACTAACTAAAAAGATTTTCAATGAATTGACCTTAGCAGACCTAGATAAACCTAGTCAAAGCCAGACAAACCTGATTTCAATTGTAGGCTCATTAAAGATAAAATAATTATCAATCTTTTCTTAATCATCTATCTATTAATATAAATATATATATATATATATATATATATATATATAATTTATTATTTAATAAATAAAAGAAATTTAAATGACATATTTTTTTTATAAGATTTTTATTTGAATATAACCTTTTTCATGGCCAAAATTTCAATTTAAATTGGTGTAATTTATCATTTAAAATGCAAATAATGTAGGAAAAACAATTAAAACCCTTAAATTACTTATCAATTTTGGTTATGAATATATATATCATTATATTATAAGAACATAAAATCCTTTAAAAATTACTAAATAATTCTCTTTGAGCACTTTTTTAAGAATAAATTTTAATGGTTATTGAAATTTATTCATATTTTTAAAATTATTTAAATTATATATATATATATATATATATTTAACCTGGCCCTCCCATCCAGAAGTGGGCTGATTAAGGGCCCCTTGCTAGTGTTTTTGGAACCCTCATG